CACCAGTTGTTAAACTTGTGTAAAGAGAAACAAATTTTGTTTCTCACTGCCATCATGGACTTGATTTCAGCTAACCAGAGGACAGGTGCAATTTTTTTTTTTGACATTTGCCAACTTCAGTCAGAGGGACCAAAACAAAAGCAAATTTCAAAATCATTACAGTATAGAAAATTCATAAAACCAAAGAATTTAAAAGAAGCATAAGTAATTAAACTTTCAAATGCACTAGAATTCTGAGACACCCTGTCTGTCTTAAACATCAACAAGAAGAGTGAGGAAGAAATCACCTTGCTTTATCTTTGAACTTTTGACCCACATTTTATGCCTTTCCAGCTCTCCCTGATGTGACCAGGGCCTTCCCTCACCTACTTTTCCGCCCCAGCCTGTCGCTGAACCAGCCGCCTCCGCCCCTCTGTGGGCACCTGGCTGCTGCAGGGCAGCCCTTTATCTCTGCAGGTGGGTGTGCGCTGCACAGTGAGGGCACTGCTGCTGTTGCCTGGCAACAGATGCTTGCAATGCCAGCAATTCCTCCCAGAGCTCTATGCTCCACCTACAGGTGTGCTCCCCCTTCTCCAGGTGAGCCAGTTAGGATTTTGAATTCTGATCCCATGGTTGGAAACACAAATTAGGATCAGTTTCCCAGATCAGACAAGGAAAAGGCCAGGTGACAGGTTTTTCTTTTAAAGGTGTGTTGTGCCCTTACCTGATAAATGTAGGACTAAGTAAAGACTGACTTTGCATTTCTTTTAAGAAACACTGCATCACTATGTAAGGACATTGCTTTTATATTTCAGAGTGTTTAGCCCTGTACTGTGGAACACACCATAGGTCATACAGTGCAGATCTGTTCTATTAGATCTGTTCATCTAACCACATGAAATTCAACATATAAAAAGTTATCTTTAACCTTAATTCCTAAATCTTGACAGGTGGAAATATTTTGCTGTATTTTTAGGGTAAATATCAGGCTGCCTTAAAAATGTGGCTTCTGGGTTCTAATTTAATTCTCCCTTTATAAGTTTTAATGGTATTTGTTTTGTCCCCTCTTCACAATTTACAGAAATCTTGGCATTTCAAAAAAAAACCTGACAAATCTTTATAAACATTCCACTATACTGTGCTATTTTTATATACCTTCTCTCACCTTCTGGCTGCTCTATTAGCCACCCTACAGGCCAGGATGATATTGCCACGTGTGAATATTTGTGTTAACACAGGTGTGAGGCCTGAAGATAGTGCTAAATAGTCTCCTTTCACAAAATTAGAACCTTTGACCTATCTCAGAATGTAGCATAGCACTATATGTTTGCTTCAGCCTATGTCAAAAAGAGTGATTTAATACTTTTTTAAAGAGTACTTTTGTTTTCAATGTGGCACTAAACTGCACAAGTATTTTATAAATTTAAAATTTGGCCATGAAATTATTTTTTTATTTAAGTTATTTTATTGTTGTTCAATTACAGTTGTCCATCTTTTCTCCCCACCCCTCCAAACCCACCTCTCTCCAAACCACCTCCCTCCCTTGCTTCGACCCTCCCCCTTGGTTTTGTCCATGTGTCCTTTATAGTAGTTCCTGAAAACCCTTCTCCCCACTGTCCCCTCCTGTGTCCCCTCTAGCTATTGTTAGATTGTTCTTAATTTCAATGATTCTGGCCATGAAATTCTTTTACTGAGAGCCCATGTTGCAAGCAAGAATTATTTTTGGCGTTCATGAATTCATTAATCTATTCAGCAAAGATTCAAGGGGCAACTGCCCCTGGTCAGGCACTAAACTAGGCACAGGTATAGCAGGTGCAAAGGACAGGCTCAACATGGCCCTCATGGAGTCTGCAGTCTAGTGGAGTTTTGAAAGAACAGTAAACAGAACAATTCTAATGTAGAGTGTTAGTGAGATAATGGAATCTGGAGAAGGGGCACCTAATCCTGATTGTGGAGGCAGTGATGAGGTTAGAAGAATAACTAGGAGTTAGCCAACTGAAGAAGGGGCCAAGGTTTTCCAGAGAGGGGAGCAGCACCAGCACATATAGCCAAGTGATGAACTAAGATGTTTAGGAAGTACAAGTAGAAGAACAGATGGGGAAGGGGAAAGAAGTGAGAGCTGAAGCCCCAGAGTTTACACTGACCCAGTCTTGAAGGGCCATGGCCAGGGGCTTGTAGGTAGTGGTGAGTGACATGGTCAGATTTGTATTGCCACTGTGGCAACTTTGTGCAGGGTGCACTGGAGTAAGTGAGCAGAAGGCCACTGCTGAAACCCGAGTTAGATTAGTGGTCTAAGATGATGGCAGTGGCAGATGGGGTGGAAAGGACAGTACAGATATTCAGGACACAGATCAACAAGATTCTGTTTGGGTTGGCAAGCAGGAGGAGTCAGGAATGACTTCCATGTTCCGGTTGGACAAGGGGGCCCTTATTCCCAGAGAGGAGTAGGCTGGAGATCTGGAGTGGACATTGGGGATTAGCTCAGGCTTTGGCAGGGACAGTTGGAGATCCCTGTGAGGTACAGAGGTAGCAGTGTACTGGGAGATAGCAGTGGACTGGAGAGTCAGCTGGGCTGGAGATCTGATATCAAGGTAGCCAGATCTGTAGTCAGAGTATGCAAGATAAAGTCATCCTCACCAGGAGCGTGCCTAAATAAGGGGAGAAAAGCTGTTCTGGGTCGAAGGCACCTCCACCCAATGGAGGAGTGGAGGATCTACCAGCCAGAGGGCAAGCAGGAAATCAAAAAGACTATCTAGTCAAAGCCAAAGGACAAAAGCATCTCAAAGAGAGTCAGAGCCAACTCCACTGAGAAGTCAAAGAAGGCAAAGACCAAAGTTTAGCCACTGGGAGACACTGATGACCCTGGTGAGAATGGTTCCAGTGTGGGGAGGTGGGCTGGCAGAGGCTGTGATATGAACAGGTGGTAAGGAAGGACAAGTGGGAGTCACATTCTCTTTGTAACTCTTGTCTGTAGTAGATAGGAGGAAAGCTGGTGGAACTTACTAGGGACTTGCCACTGAAGGAGGGCTGTTGGTTTTAAATGAGACAGTATTGAATGTATTTCTACACTTCTAGGAAACAAGCCAATAGAAAAGAGGTTGAAGAAAGGGGGGATATCAGAGGAGAAGGGACACATTGACAGGGTGAAGACTGCCATGACCCCGGGCTCAGAGACAGCATTGCAGGAGCCCCCACAAGGTGGGAGTTTGCTCTCTGTGCCGGAAAAGGCCAAGCCATCTAGAAAGTGAGGGAAATGTTGTGGATTCAGAGAAAAGTGGGGCACCTGAAGACAGAGCTTAGGAAAGACATGTAAAAGAATCCTTGTGCAGTGCCTGGGCCCACAGAGCCTAGAGAGCATCAACTTGTGACAATAACTCACAGGGAAGTGAGATCCACAGCACAGTGCTGGCCCAGGACAGCTGCCCAGTCACCTCTTTTGCCCTCCTTCCTTCAAGTACAGCAACCCAAGTGCAAAGAGGCTGGCTGCCCCTCTGGGCTGGCTGTAGTAGCAATGGAGGGACCTACCTCCCTCTCAGTCACAATACCTTAGAACACATGCCTGTCCCCTGCCCTCATTTGTTCCTGGCTGTAATGCCAATTTAGAGGCCAGAGTGTCCTGGAGAAAAGGAGCAAGCACATCTGTTCAGAGAACTGCAAAGGAAAACGGGGGCTGGAGGTAAAGACAAGAGCCTAAGGGAGGCGGCCGTGTGGGTGTGCTAGAATAGTCTGGAAAATGAAGGGAACAAAGGCGGTGTGACTGGTGAGCTTCTTACAGAGCCTCCTCCCTGATAGAATATGTATGATCCTGCGTGAGGCCTCCCCTGCCTGAGAGCAGGGAGGCATCCCAAGGATTGGCAGGGAGCTTTCGCCCAGACCCACTCTCCTGGGGTTGGGGTATGAGACAGTCGTCAGGCAGTGTTCGGGACACCACGTGGGTGAGCTTCTCAAGGGCCAGCACTTTTAGTGCTAGCGCCACTCCGTCTACCCGGAACCAGCGTACGGCCACTGCCCCCTATCTCCAGCTGGCCGGCTCCCCCTTCTCAGCAGCGTGGAAGCCCCAGCGGAATTCAGACCCGGAAGGAGGGCAGGTCTCGCACAGGAGGCAGAGAGGGGAGCAGAGGCTAGCGTGTACTTACACGCTATAGTCACCCTGTGGGAACTCAGCAACGCAGTCCGTTGCTCCCGCCGCTCTCGGCCACCACTCTTCAGGGTCCCGCACCGGGCAGAGTACACAGCCTCCTCCGGGTCCCCGCTGGGCGCTGTGCACCTGGGGGCGGGGCTGAGCCAGGCTGAGCTCGGAGGGGGAGCCCTGGGCAACAGGAGTGCCCAGCGCCAAGCGGCTGGCTCCAGCAGAGCCTGGCGCTCTCTGCCCCTTTCACCATTCACTGTATGCCATTTATCCAGCAAATAATTCTGAACAGATACCTTTAAAAAGCTTTTGACTTCGTGCGTCTTCCCTGCATCCTTTTTAGTTACGAATTTGCGGTGGGCAGGGGGAGGGAGAAGAACGCGTTCTGATTGGAAAACACGGAGAGACCAGACCATCTCTTTCAGCAGCAAGGAAAAGAAGCCATCGCAGGATCCACACATTATCTACAACTCTCTTTTGCTTTTTGTGCAAATTCCTAACTGTGCCTGACGTCCAACCAAGCAGGCAGGCATGGGCTGTTTGGGCAACAGCAAGACAACAGAAGACCAGGGCGTCGATGAAAAAGAAAGACGCGAGGCCAACAAAAAGATCGAGAAGCAGTTGCAGAAAGAGCGCCTGGCTTACAAAGCGACTCACCGCCTGCTGCTACTGGGTAAGGAGGGAGAGCGCTCACAGCGGCTCCTGGCCAGAGCAGAGCGCACAGCCAGGGACTCTGGCCAGCGACTCTGGCCAGCTCCTCCAGCCCAGAGCTGCCGTGTACTTGATTGAGAATGCGTGTGTTGGGGTAGGATAATTGCTCAATGTGTGTTGGCATGAAAGATGGCAAAGGCAAAGGGCCACAAATCACAGCATTCTTTTTGTTTGTTTGTAGGGGCTGGTGAGTCTGGGAAAAGCACTATCGTCAAACAAATGAGGATCCTGCACGTCAATGGATTTAATCCCGAGTAAGGAGTGGTCAATTTCGATTTTGCTTCTGAACTGCGTGCAAACTTTGTAACTTCTTTCTCAACCTCCCCAAAAGTGCTTTCTCTAGGCAGTCAATTTAATCAATGAATGCACCTGTAAGGGAGAAGAATGTAAGAGTGTATTATTGAATTTGGTATATTATATTGGGTTGACCAAAAAGTTCGTGTGGGTTTTTTTCCATAAAATACCTCTAGTAGTGCTTCGTTAGTTATCTCTAACTTCATTCTAAACAATTTTGTTAAATTGTATTGTGACAGCTGTCATATCCATGTGCATTTAAAAAACATCAAATTGGTGAATTTTTGAGTAGCCTTTTTAATATTGGCAACATTTTGGCATATTATGCTTTATTATTTCAAGAAAGGTAAAAGCACAACTGAAAAACAGCAACAAAAAAGATGTATGCAGTGTATAGAAAAGGTGCTGTGACTGATGGAAGTTGTCAAAAGTGGTTTTGAGTTTTCTGTGCTAGTGATTTCTCACCGGACGATGCTCCACAGTTGGGTAGCCCAGTTGAAGTTGATAATGATCAAATTGAGACACGAAAACAATCAACGGTTATACCATGCTGGAGGTAGCTGACATACTCAAAATATCCAAGTCAATAAAATTCTTGATGAAAATGAAAAAATGTGTCTCTTATTTTTATGTGCTTTATGGACAAAACCATATGGATTTTTTTGGCCAACCCAATACATAGGTAAATCCTTTTTATGACAATGTCTAGATCAAAAAGTAAAGTAACTTGTTTAACAAAATAGGATTTATTAGGCATTCGTGAGGTATTGATCTGTATTTTTGGTATTGCTCTGAACACAACCAATATGTCAATATTTACTTTTCTCTGTATCTTTTGTCTGCATCTATTTTAATTCATATCTGTCAATACATGGATAGATTAAAACCAAATATATTTATAAGTATAGTTGTATAGGTTTTATATGCAATATTCATGACAAGTTTGCCACATTTTGTGTAACTTTTGTGGTTGTTTAAAGCTATTCAAATTGGTTTAGAGTACAAATTAGAAAAGAGGGCTGTTTTCCTTTCCCACATAAAAACTTTGCAAATAAAAACTATTGTCCTGGGGGCTGATGTTGACCTCTAGGAAAGCCAGTTTAGCCAGGTGCCACAGCTGGAAATTTAAAATCCCACTCAATTCATTCAAATCAGTGCTAACAATAAATTAATAGCACTTCTCTTTTAATTATTTAATTTAATAATGTTCTCTTTTAACAGGGAAAAGAAGCAAAAAATTCTGGACATTCGGAAAAATGTTAAAGATGCTATTGTGGTAAGGATTTTTATTTAAATGCTTCTTTACTAAAAAAGTTAAGCACTATTCTCTCTGAAACTATGTAGACAGAAATGTATTAGATTACCACACATGGAGCCTAAGTGGTATATTTATCCACATATATATTTTTCTTTATTCCATTTCAGACAATTGTTTCAGCGATGAGTACTATAATACCTCCAGTTCCACTGGCCAACCCAGAAAACCAATTTCGATCAGATTATATCAAGAGTATAGCCCCTATCACTGACTTTGAATATTCCCAGGTATGTAAATCCTTATTGAAATAATTTAGGTGGTGCAGGATGGAACCATTTTTAATGAGGTGGCTTACTGAGAATCAATGTTAGTATTAATTTATTATTAACTATCTTCAAAATCTAACTCTGCTTAAGAGAAATGCTTTCTTTTGTATCAAAATATTAACAATAGGATTAGAAAAAATGCTTTTGTGAATGTATTGGTGAAATTGATATTCAGGAAGACAGAATACCTTTAAGAAATATCTCTAGTACTTTTTCCTATATGTATTTCTGAATTAACAATTAAGTAATTTCCAAGATAATAAATGAGTAAAGATTCCATGAGTAGAGAGAAGTACTCTCTGATATTTGATTGCCTCTGAAGGAAAAAATAGGAAGAACAGAATTCAGTTTACTTTTAAGGTATGTATCCTTCAGATCAAATGAGAAGAGAATACATGCTCTAAATAATAACATGGATTACTTCTGAACATTTACTATCTGGTAGGAAAATGTAGTTCATTTTACATCTGCAGGATTTAGGCCTGCTTTCCTAATCACTTGGAGGACAATATTGCTTATGTAATAGGATATGAATATTAATTTTCTCTTATTTGTGAATAAACATTTCTCTAAAATACTGTTATTTGGCAATTAGATTAAGCATGTTTCAAAGCAAAATATATTTGTTAAGTTCCTCAGGAAATCATTTTTGTTACAGTTGTGCCAAAAAAGTGTATAGGTATGCTGTGTGTATGTACCCATCAGTAACAGTACTTCAAACTTTTCACTGCCTGGAATGGTGGTCTTGAGACATTTTTCATCCTCAAAATCCTCTCCTCCAAGGGAAACCGATGCAGAATTTGTGTGTGCAATAGGCTCTGCCCTGTTTTCACCAAAGTGTGGGCCAGTGTGTGCCTGCTCAGCCCTCCCCCTTCTCTTGAACACAACATGGTTATCCTATAGGCTTTTATCAAGATGGCAAATAATTACTTTTCTCTTTTTTTCAAGCTCATATTTGCATCCTGTAATGTATTTACAGCACATCATTATTTACAGCTTTTATTTATTGCTTACGATAGGCATTGCAATGTAACTAGTGAGATTTCTACAATTTCTAAAAAGGACTTGGGGGAGCAAAATGGCTAGAAAAAGAGATAAGGCATCTGTCACAGCAGTGCCATTTTTTTTTTTTACTAAACTTTGTCTATAATTGATTAGATGGCTTAGAGGGGGTTAAACAGTGATCACCTCCCCCAACCAGCTTCATGCCAAGCTGAGCCTTCCATGAATGGTAGAGTTGAGAGCAGAAGTGGACATAGAGAAGTGCAGAAGGGGGATGGCCTTTGCCAGGATCTACAAATGACTCAGTGGGGCTGAGAGCAGGTTGGAGACCAACAGCTGAAACAATGGAGGGAAAAGCAAACAGGTTACAAAGGCCCCAGAGTGCTTGCCAAGAGATTCTAGTTCCTTCCCAAGGCTGTGGGGAACCATTTGTCAAGCCTAGTCAGGGACACACAAAATGCAAGTTGTCTTTGGCTGCTTTTGTGTATCTACCCTTGGAATGGTGCTTTGGGAGTTTGTCTGTCATTGAGCAAAGGACATTTACTCCATCAGAAACCTTCTAAGCCTCACCTTGCTTATGTCAAAATGCTAAGAAAGAATGGAACCACCATAGAATTAGTATTATACTTTGTTTGCACATCTGATATACTAATAAAAGGAATTGCTATCAAGGAGTTGTGTGGAGTATTTGAATAAAATACTTCAGTGAGATCTAGAGCTTCAGTGAAGATACTTTTTAAATTTTTATTTTTTCTTTGAAGTATTATCATAAGGTGTATTCCTAATAATTAATTTTTTATTTTGAAACTATTTTAAACTTACCCCCAAAACATAAACATAGTACAAAGAACTCCCATATACCCTTCACCTAGACTTATCAATAGATACCATTTGGCCATACTAGCACACATTTTTTATGAACCATTTGAGAGTTGATTGCAGAAATCCTGCTCTTTTACTTCTAAATACTTCAGTATGTATTTCTTATGACAAAGGACACCCACTTACATCACCACAGCACAGTTATTGGAATTTAGAAGAGTTGACATTAATACAGTGCTATTTTGTAATCTACAAATATTATTCAAGTTTTAACAATTGTCCCAATAATAAATTATATAGTGAAACTATGTAATAGTAATAACAATAACTCTGGTCAGTAATCCAATCCAGAAACAAGGACTGCATTTAATTTCTATTTCTCCTTGATTCTAGAACAGTACCTCAGCCTTCCTTTTTATTTTCCCATGACATTAACCAGACATTTATGTTATGGAATGCCCTTTCTATGGTTCCTCGAGAAACTATAGACTTGGTTGGTGACTAGACTTGGTTAGTGCTTTGGTATCAAAAACACAGAAGTGATCTGTGCCCTTCCCAAGAATTGGGGACGTTAATTCTGATCACTTAATGAGGTGCTGTCTGCCATGGGTCTCTTCCATAGAGGTACCTTTCTTTTCCCCTTTGTAATACTTAAGTATGCTTAGGAATGCCCTTTGAGACTATAAAAATATCCTGTTGTTATCAAAATGTTTATACTTTAGTTTTAACACACTACTACATTTTATCTACAATAAATATTTAAGGGGTAATGCTTTTGTCAGTTCTTCTGACTATTTCTAAATGTCATAATGAAAATGAAATAGAATGTGGATCACGATGCTGCTTTTCACATAATAAAAACACATCATTAGAGGATCAGCCAAAGCAGCACCATCTTGTCTATACCAACGTGCCAAGAGAACTGGGCTTCAGCCACAAATTTCCCTTACATGTTTCTTCATGTAGAAAATGCACTTGCACCCTGGCTTGTGTGGCTCAGTGGATTGAGCACCAGCCTGCAGACCAAAAGGTTGCCAGTTCAATTCTCGGTTAGGGCATATGCTTGGGTTGCATATCAAGTCCCCAGTTGGGGGCATGCAAGAGGTAACCACACATTGATGTTTTTTTTACACATTAATGTTTCTCTCCTGTTTCTTCCTCTTTCCCCCTTAAAATAAATAAATAAAATCTTTTTAAAAAAGAAAATATATTTGAATGGTCACAAAGTAAAGCAACACTTTTAAAATTTCTTGAATGTCAGTGAAACTTCAGATCCTTTGAAAATGTGTTGTCAAGCTTCATCTTGAATTTGGATGTATTGGAAGTTTGTTGCCTGGTTTAGCAAAGCAGAAGTTCACATGTAAAGATACTTGCTGTTTTCAGAAGGGTATGACATTAAAAATACCTCAGTATTAGAGCATTTTGTCCTCATTGGTAGTTTTACATAACTCTGAGAGAAAATGTGTTGGACTTTTCAGGGCTCTCTGGGGAAATGATGAAAGGAGCAGTAGGCTACTCATATGTCAAATCAAGATTTGAATGAGTTGACACATGTGGTTTGTAAGAAAGGTACACTGATGTTTTTAGAGGCAAAATAATGAGTTTTGCATGAGGATGTCATCCATGAATGTATGGAGTTTTTCCTTCACCTCTCAAAATAGTCCCATACAATTTTTATTCTGTTCTTTATTATGGCCTATAGTTTGAATTAAATCAACTTTATGGATAACAGTCTCACTACACAAAGCAATTTTATTTTTAAAATTGGATTTGTACTTGTTTAAATAAGAAGTATTTGTTTATGGTACAAAATCCAAAAGACATAAAAGAGTGAAAAGTCCCTCTGACTCCTCCTGCCCCAGGCACTTCAGTCTCGTCCCCAGAGAGAGCCAGTGTGGCATAACATACTTTTATCTTACAGTGAATAATCATTTATAAAATTTAATTGCAGTTAATATTATTAGTATGGAGAAAATTTCTAGCCTGAATTGCCAAGTAAATATTTTTCAAGTACAATTTAATGTTAAAGTAAATTGTGTGGAAATCATTTTGGTACCTAGACAAAATGCCAAGTGCTTGATTATGAAAATACAGAAAGATTGCATTGGCATTCAGTAAATGCTGAAGTTTTAAAATATAGAAGCCAACAGCTTCATGACTCTGAGGGAAATAACAAATTATGTAATTAACACAAACAGGACCCTTGGAAGGCATTTGACCTTTAGGTTCTACGTAGCTAATAATCTGTTAGAGCATTTGGTAGCTCTTTGATACTATTTCTCTAACCATTTAGATGTGTGCCACATGTCATCTTTCTCACATGAGTTTCCTGTTCATTCTATGCTCATCCTGCATTTTTCCCTCTTGGTCTTAGGACATTCTGCCAGCCCCACATTGTTTTTCTTTCACAGAAATAGTTTAAAATTTCTGCCCAAGAAAAGACAAAAACCCTGGCTTCCTTCCCAAGTGACATGCTTACCTACATCTGTACATTGTATACCGTTACTCTTTCCCATCAGTTCCTGCTCTCACCACTTTGAAAACCTGTCTGCTGGCCCTGACCTGGTGGCTCAGTTCTTCGGAGAGTTGTCCTATACACCAAAAGGTTGAGGGTTCAGTCCCCAGTCAGGGCACATATGGGAGGCAACCAATTGATATATTTCTCTCACATCGATGTTTCTCTCTCTCTCTTTCTCAAATCAATAAACATATCCTTGGGTACGGATTTAAAAAAAGAAACCTGCCTATTGTTTTTTTAACATCCTCTATGTAAAAAACTAAGATTCTCGAGAACACAGTGTGCATTTTGTATATTTGTCCTTAAGGTCCATCTTGAGTAAGTATTCAGAGTTGAGTGAGTTTAAGTTCCTCCAACTAACAAGGCTGAACTGACTTACAAAGCTGATTATGTGTCACAATTTCAAATGTTTAACTTTTATGCCCATTCTTTTATTTAAAGCTCGCATAATGGTTAGGCACGTTGAGTTTTGCCACTTATTTGCGGTAGAAACCATATCCTCCTTGCTTGGCACATGCAGTCATGTGCTGCACAACATTGTTTGGTCAACAGTGGATGGCTCATATGATAGTGGTGCCATAGATTATGATGGAGCTGAAAAATTCCTATCACCTAGTGA